GGATACCTAAAATCAGCCACTTCTTCTAATTTTTCGTTTCCTATTTTTATATTCGCTCTTTCCCTACTATTTCTTCCTTTGCATACCAGTATTTTTGTTTTATTTTTATTTTTATTTTCATACAGTACTGTTTTGTAAATACCGCTTCCATTTTATTTAAAGGTATCTCTAAGTTCTCCTTGCTAAATGCTAATACTGCTATATCATCTGCAAATCTAAGCATACTAATCTTTTGCCCTTGCACATCGATCCCTACAGTTGTACTGTCTTTAATGATGTTGATCGCTTCTCCGATGTATAGATTAAAAAGTAGCGGTGACAGTGTGCACCCCTGTCTGACTCCCTTCCTAATATTTGCTTCTCTACGTTGCATTTGTACTCAAAATTATATATGGGGCATCTAATAAATAAATAAATTAAATTAGTTGGTTCATTTTAATTCAAAATTGTTTGTATTTCTTTTAAAAGCTGATGTTTTTCGCATTATTATCTTCATAATATAATATAACGAAGTTCCAAAATAAATTTACCTTTTCTAAAAGATATTCGGTAACAGCGTTCTCAATTTCTGCCCTGGACTGTGAAAAGAAATCTGTAATCGATCTGTGGATGTGAAAATGGGGAAATTTGGCAAAAATGTAACGTAGCAGGAGGGCAACCAGTGCTCTAACCTGAAATACATTAAAATATTTTTGGTTTTTATATTTATCTAATATTTGCTTACCTCAGGATGAATTGCCAAGTACTTCTGATTTTCTCTGACAATGTTTACTTTTAGTTTGTTTAGTTTCCTTTGCTGACTGTCGGCAAGTACATCCAGGCTATAAGGTGCACAACCTCGAGGTACATCGCTGGCATGAAAATCGTGCATTCGTAATTCAAGTCGGTCAGGTCTATCTAAATTAACCAACTTGTACCGCTTCTCCATATTTTCAAATGACTTTTTGCCTTTAACAAATAATAAAATGATTATATTTAATGTAAATAATAGCAAGTTTAAATGACATGTAGTATTAATAAATGTCACTATAATTATAAAATGTACCTAGCGGTAAAAGAACAGGAATATTAGCATCCAAAATTATTGTAAGTTGTAAAAATCCCTGGAAAACCACAAAAGTTCATGAGTAAAAACTACTGCGATAATTAACAAATCTACAGCTGAGGGATGATATTTATTAGGGTGGTATTCACTAAACTTCGCAAAGCGATCATTATGAAAAAAGGTACGCACATGATGTCAATGGTTTCTAAATACTGTACTTTGGCGTAATTTTTGCTAAAATAAGTACACAGAATAATTTAACATATAAAAGCGCTCGTGAAATTACTAAGAAATGGAAGATATTTAATAAGTTTTAAGAAGTGATAATTACGTACAAAAGTACGTAGAATCTTATGGTACCAACAGTTTTTAGATGCAATGTCAAATAGGAACTTTTCGGCATAATTTTTGTTAATCTACGTATTTTATAAAATTATTTTAACATAAAAAAGCGCTCGTGCAATTACTGAAAGATGGAAGATAATTGCTATGTTTTAAGATGTGATAATTACGTAGAAAAGTACGTAGAATCTCATGGTACCAACAGTTTTTAGGTGCGATGAGAAATAAGTACTTTTTGGCACAACTTTTCTTAAAATACGTATTTTATAGAATTATTTTAACATAAAAAAGCGCTCGTGCAATTACTGAAAGATGGAAGATAATTGCT